CAAGTTGTCGGCAGCGATCAAGGATGGTAGTGTGGTTAGAGAACGTGACTAAAGCGGCTCGAGCATAGGCAGCAGCGCACGAGTGGAGCAGCAAGGGGACACGGGGACCACCCCATGCGCCAAGTTGGGCCCAGCCTGCCGCAGTGAGCAGACCAAGAGGGGCTCTGAAGACCTGCGCGAGGATTCCCAGTTCCAGGGCAGCGTGTCGTTGTGGGAGTGGGACAAATTGGGCCACATAGGAGACCACTGAGAACACCCTAGACGAGTACAGAACACCGCTGATACTGGCGGGGGCAGCGCCTGACCCAAGCAGTCGGGCTCGTAGTTAAAGCTTCTGCAGCGGGGCGCGCCACTACATGTCCACCGTGACGGCTGGGCCCAGCAGGAGGCCAAGGTAGAGGACGTGGGAGGCCACTTCGAAGGCACGCCAGGCAGGGACGAGGCGCGCCACGAGGGACATCGTGTGGAGCTGGAGGGACTCGGTGAACACACCCTTGAGCGGGACGATTTTGCACTTCGGGGGCTTAAGTCTCAGCCCTGTGAGACACTCCGTGACCAACATCACATCATACAGCACAGTGAGGTGCTTCGCTTCATACAGCACCGCTCCTATGTCATCAGCACATGCACGAGCGATCCCATAACCAGGAGTCTCCAGGGTATCCTCCAGCGCACAGAGGAAGGGGGCCGTGCCGAGGGCGTAAAGGCTCCCTGAGAGCCCGCATCCTTGGATAATCCCAGACCGCAACCAGTACATCGGGATAAGCTGGCCAGCATGGGCCACCACACCTTGCATCGCTAAGTACAGCCACGAAAGGAACCACATGAGGGGCCCAGGGAGCCCGAGCTTATTCATCAACATCAACAAATACTCTTGAGATAGACTAGGGAACGCCTGCCCGTAATCAAACGAGATCAAGAGGGGGTCGCACAGGTCCGAGCGGGGGTGAGCAGCAGCAAGCCTTCCTATGCCGTCGAGTTCGATCACGTTATATCCGAAGTTTCGGCCGACCACGAACCCCCTCTGCGAGCTGGGCACCACCTCCTCCACCACCTTACGGAGCGAGCGGTTGACGACGGACGTCATGATTTTAAGGTCGGTATTTCGCAGACCGAGTACGCGAATCTTGTCGGCCGATCGTGCGCAGCCTCCAGAGGCCTCGTCCTCCTCCTCGGAACCCTTGGGCAAGAAGGCCTGCAACGTGACACTCGCGGCATCGAAGAGGGCCCCCCCGCCGAGCACCCAGTCGAGGGTGTTGCACAAGACGTCGACGCAGCATTCAGAGGCATTCCAAGCGGCATAGGGGATGCCGTCCACACCTGGGGCAGAGTGCCGTGCACCACGCACAGCTCGACGGACGGCAGCTTTAGTGGGCGGCGGGACCTCACACTGGACGGGGGCCTTCAGGTGGTCCTGGAGGCAGGCCTCAACGCAGGGGCCTGGGACAGAGCCCCGGGAGAATACAGGGCGCCAGTAGGTGCTCAAAGCTTGAAACCGATCTTCAGGCGCGTGGGACAAATCGGACCCGGACCGAACAGCCTGCAAGATGAGCCGGCGAGAAACTGGGGCCCAGATGGCCGCCTTCCGCTCCAACAGCTGTCGACGTAGGCAGGCAGAGGGAGGACGATGTGAGGCAGAGAAACCAGCGGCATGATCAGCATTGGCTTGCAGTTCTTTTTCCAGAAACCGCATGTGGACTCCATCCGACCAAGAATGAAAGGATTCAGCATGCCGAAGACTAACTTGTGCGCCTTCAATTTGCAGTAAGTCCGATGCCCACTGCGATGTCGAAATAAGCCGCCGAGCCAGCGGCACGTCCTGACGCCAGACGGCTCGGGCGCAGCTGCGGGCCACGAGGAGCGCCGTCTCGTCGCTCTCCGCCTTCAGCGTGAAGAGCATGTCGCGCACCTCCCTCGCCGCCTCCTTGAGCATCTCTTTGAAATGCTCCTGATAAACAGAGCCAGCGTACGCGGCAATAGCGTTCTGGCCGTCAGCTACCATCCCCTCGACACGCTTCTTGAAGAGCGGGTCTAAGAAGATGTGCCGCGGAATAGCTTGTTCTCCCCGAGGCTTGTGATGGCGCTGGCGTAACGTAGTCACCAACGCGGCGTGATCAGATACTTGAGCACGGGACAACGCCTCTGGCTCACCGACCGCGGTAGATTCAGCATGTACCTGACACAGCATCCATCCTGGCAGCGAGCAGAAGAACCTGTCCAGGCAACTGACCGAGTTGGTATGCTTCGTATACTGAGTAGCCGCCGACGACGAGACCTCCAGGAGTGCCCCAAGAGAGCGAAGCCAGCGAGCAGCCTGAGCACGATGATTCCGAGGATCAGATACACGCGCAGGCTGAGGGCGATGAAGCGCGAGAGCTTCGTCGGGGCCAAAATTGAGGTCGCCTTGCACGATGACCAGGTGGTGGGTAGGGTCAGACGCTGCCGAAACCCGATACCGATCGATCTGCTCACAGACCATGTCCACCTGAGCGCTTGTGAGGCCGTGGTTATGGATATTGAAATGCGTCAACTGAAATCCACGTCTATGCACATCAACTTGCAGGACCCGTCCTGGGATGAGCGGCGTGGCACAGCTAGACGAGGCTCCGTCAAGAGCTAATCGAGGAAGACTAGTAGCGACACCTCCCGCACCCGATCCCCCGTGATCGTCTGCACAAAATGAGGCGTGTACTACTGCATGGGCATGAGCTCGGAGCACAAACTGCTCAAGCTGGACTCGATCAGCGTGAACCTCCTGCATCGCCAACAACGTGGACGGCAAGTGGATTTGCTGAAGGTAACGTAACTTGGGAATCGCCTTCGCCCCTTTGTACTGCAGGAGCGCCCTCGCGTTCCAGGTAGCACATCTCAGAGCAATGCCTCCACCTCGGGACTGAGGAAGAGCGAACATCTGCAACATATCGTTAAAGACACCACTGCGGAGGAGGTGGCGGTGCGATGGTGGACTGGATGAGTTCGCGTACCTCGTGCTTGGCGATGCCGACCTCGCGAAGGCCCTCATCGTTGTAGAAGATGTCGAAAAGCTGGTCGTCGGGTTGGGCCGAGAGCTTGAGGATGTGCGTCCACCCGCACCTGAGGATCCCACGCTCCCTGTCCACTGCCCAGCGTCCATCATATTTGCCAGCCAGGGCCGTACGCAGCTTCCTGAGCGCCATTTCCGCTTTGATTTGCTTTGGATTTTTATCTGGTCCAAGGTGAAGGCGAGCGGGGGAAGAGCCTGAGACGTCGGCCTCAAAGATTCGCCACTCATTGTTCTGCCTGAGATTGGCCAAGACCTTGTTGACACATTTAGACGCAAGCCCAACACTGCCGTGGAATGAAATGAGGTACCTTCTGCTTGGCATCGGTCCAGTAGCTTTGATGATGTGAGACGAGGCGTCCAAGCCCAGCTCGGACAAGAATGGGGTAAGTGAAGCACGCACGGACTCGATCCCAACCATTTTCGTGGCCATGGCGACGACAACAGACGGGTCTTCCTCACGATCGAAAGAGGGCGGCGGTGTCGGCGCCTTCTCCGTGCGTTTGGCCACCATGAGCTCGCAGCGGAGCTCCTCCATCTGCTTTCGTAAGCTGGCGATGTCCGAGGTGCGTCGCTCAACGTCGATCGAGAGCGTGTTGACATGGGACCCCAGGGAGTCAATCTTGGACTGCAAGCCGCGGTGAATGGAGTCGATGTGGGGGCGGACGGTGGCCATGATCTGCTGGTCAACCTCCTTCGGCTGGGCCGTAATCTGGATGCGCAAGGACTCCAAGGTGTCAAGAATAGATTTGTTGGATGACTCCACTGTAGCGCCGACGGTAGATCCCACGAGAGACTCCAACTCGGACCGTAGCTCTCCGAATAGTTCTGCAACTGCGTTGGCCGCGACGTGCCTGATGTAGTCGTCATCATACTGTGGCTGCTGGAGCGGAAGCTGGGAAGGGCCCCCAGAGCCACCAGCAGGAAGAGAACCAGGAGCGCTTTGGTGATCGCCACGGCCGCCGAAGAGCGCCGAGCCGACAGCACCAGCTGCGCGGGCAGCCATGCCTGCGACACCCTTGCCGCTGACGTTGCCACCTTTGCCTTCGTCTCCAGTCTTCGACCACTTCGCTTCAGGGAAGTCAGGTCCGCAATGATGCTGACCAGGCTGGGCACCCTCAGCTGGCGGGCCTCTCTCATCATCAGGGAAGGTGGGCATGTCGTCGAGCTCGGCCGCGAGGCGAGATTTGTCCTCATCAGTTGGCAAGCCCATCGGAGCAGCTCCGAGCGGAGCGAAACCGTCGACTGTCGCGCACTCCAGGCGCACAACGTGGGCGTCCCGCAGTATGCGGAGGGTGTGGCAGTGGGTGCAGAAAGAGAAAGGCTGCCCCACCTGGTCGGGCGACCACCTGTGGTGGGGAGCAGGGCTGACCTGGCCAGCTGCCTCGGGAGATGTTTTACTTGAGCCAAAATGGCTTGAGCCAAAATGGCTACGGAGGAGGAAAATGAGGAGGAGGAGGAGGAGGAGGAGGTCCAGACCTCGTGGGGGGGAGCCACGTCGTGAAAAAATAGGACGTCGGATGCCTGGTGACACCCATGCTGGCTCCGGGGCCATGCCTCGCGCCTCGGGCGGCGCTCCGGGACGAGCCCGAAGGGTCCCTGGAGGGCTGTCGCTGAGGCGCAGCGGCGCAGCTGAAGGAGACCACCCCAGGGACCCAGAGATCCGATGTCGTGCTTTTTTCAATAAAGGGTCCCTGGAAAACTCGACCCATTCCCCAGGACCGGTTCTTCATCCTGAGTCGTTTTTTGACGGTCCCGGGGCCCGGCGAGGGGCCCTCGAGGCCGAAAAATACGAGAAACCTGCGTCTGGATTTTTGTCAATACGCTGGAGATCTCTGGGGATCCCAGAAACACTTCCATCCAGAGGCGTCCGAGACCTCCCCAACGCCCTGCGGTCTGCGGAGGCGTCCGAACCGTCGGCCCCCCGTCGGCGCTGATCCCCGTGGCGTCTCCTCCCCGCTGCCCGCCCCGCGGAGTCCGCTGCGCGGCTCGCCGCCGTCACGCCGAACTGCTCTTGGTGGGCACTGCGCGGCGGGCCGCGCCGCTCCCCCCCCGGCGGCTGCAGAAGACGCGGAGGTGGCTGGGGGTACAGTCGGGGCGTTGACCTCAGGAGCCCTAAATTAAGGAACGAGGCCCCTTTTTCCCATGAGTTAAACTTCGATTTCCGATCGAAGACATCAGGGAAACCCGAGGCAAGCTGTGAAACACTTAAGGAACGCGGAGCCCCTCCCCAACCAAAAGGGTTCCTTCTTCAGGGCCCCGACTGTAGGGGGCCACGCGCGGACCCCACCCTCCCCCCAAGAAAGCGTGGGGGGCAGGGCCAGGGCGTTCGCGCGTGGCCCCCCAAGGGGGGGGGGGTCGCCACACGGTCGACTACGGGAGCCCTGGATAATGATTTGGGTCGGGCTTCTCCTCCTACAGGCGGAGTTCGGAATACCATTTTTTGTTCATCGGCGCTGGACCCCTGGGGCGACGCTTTCGCCGTGGAACGGCAATGAATAGGAGTTCGGAATACAAAATGATTTGTGTTCCCGAAAAACCGGAGAGTGTCGAAAGGTCGTCCGCATCCTCTTGTTTGACACTCTCTGAAGATTCCTCCTGCAGAGGGGCATGCCCGACTGAACCCTGGATCCAAAAATGCTGGCGTCTCGCTTTGCTTCCTCCGCCCTCCGCCGACCTCCCACGCCTGGCGGGCTCTCTCCCGCTCCACCTCCTCTGTGCAGTCACTGCTCCCTACTGGTCATTGGGAGTTTCGTGGCGGGCGTCGGTCTCTACCCACGCCAGGCGCAGTCTAAGAACTAGACCGGCTGCCCTGCGGCGCGGGTGTGTGGAGAGGCAAGGACCAGGAGATTACCTCGGCCCCGCCCCTCACGCACCTAGAGGCCTCCCAGATGGGGTCGGAGTAGATGGGGTCGGAGGATCGCGCCGCATCGCCAATGCATTGCCGATGCATCCGGCGATGCATCGGCGATGCATCGGCGATACATCGGTGACACTGGTGATGCATCGGCGACGTCGGCGTGGGGAAACACGGTCTCCACATAGAGCCGCATCGCCGATGCATCGGCGATGCGGCGCGATCCTCCGACCCCATCTACTCCGACCCCGTTTAAGAGGCCCAGAGCCTAGAGCACCCCCACCTCTGTCGGGGTGGCTTCGCTTTGCTTCCGCCGCCCTCCGCCGACTGTCCACTCCTGGCGGGATGGCTCCCGCCTCACGCCCTCCTCCTGGTCCTCCTCCTGCTCCTCCTCCTCCTCCTCCTCCTCTCCTCCTCCTCCTCCTCCTCCTCCTCCTCCTCCTCCTCCTCCTCCTCCTCCTCCTCCTCCTCCTCCTCCTCCTCCTCCTCCTCCTCCTCCTCCTCCTCCTCCTCTTCCTCCCTGGCTTCCGCCAGCTTCCGCCGGCCCTCCGCCGGCGTGTCCGCCACAGGCAGGGCCAGCCGCCGAAGGCGAGGCCCCTCTCTCTCCGGGGAGCGCCACTCGCCGCATCCAGGGGCTCCGATGGCCAGTGTCTTCGACGAGGCTGCCTGGCGATTGCGCGTACACGTCGGTCGGAAGGGCAGAGTAGGGGCCCGACCACAAGAAGCCTTCCACAAGAAGCCCCACCCTGAGACCCTAGGGAGTCCATCGTTCTTTGGCGTGGGAGCGTCACGCTTTCAATGGCCAAACCATCGAAACCCAAGAAACCCAGGGCACCCTGGAGACAAGCAGGGTGCTTCTTGGCGTGGGCCTCCAGAGTACACGTCGGTCGGAAGGAGTAGGTCAAAACATGAAGTAGGAACGCGGATCATGCAGATTGGGTTCTGGCCCTCCCACACAGAAGAACAAAACACGACAAGCACACACCGATGATTGAAGTAGGGAGGCGCTTGAAGTAGAGTGGGAGCTGGAAGACCAAAACTACCTATTTTCAACAACCAGTGTGTGGATGCCCGCCCCTGGGCTGCCCACCCCTCTTGCCTCCGCGGACGCTCCCTCCCGAGCGCGAGCGCGAGCGCAAGCGCGCTGGCACAGGCGGCCCCTGGCCGGCCGGCCGTAGGGCGAGCGCGCGAGCTCCACCCCGGCCGCTCCGATCCCCAATCCCACGTCGACGCCATGCCGAAGGGAGAGGGGCCCGAGCTGGGCCGAGGCCTGCCTGCCGAGGCCTTCCGGCCTGGCAGCGTCTCGAGCTGCCGGTACAGACTCTGGGCGGCAGCACGGCCGCGGTCTCTCGACGGCACGGCCCTGGCAGCAGAAGCGGTGGCCCCGCCGATAGGGGGCCACATGTGAACCCTACCCCTACCCCCCACGACTTCTGAGGGGAGGGTGGGGTTCACTTCGCTCAGGAGCTCCCGAGCGAAGTGAACCCCACCCTCCCCTCAGAAATCGTGGGGGGTAGGGGTAGGGTTCACATGTGGCTCCCTAGCCGAGCCTACGGCGCGAAGAAGGGCGCCTCTGTGCACGACGCGGCGGCGGCCGTCGCGGTCGCTCTGGAGAAGGGCGAGTTCGCCACCACGTGGGACTACTCCCTGGCGTGCGACAGGGTGCTGCCGGAGGCCGCCGTGCAGGCCATGCGCCAGGCAGGCATGCCGGAAGGCATCGCGCTCATGCTGCAGTCGCGGTGGGAGCACCAGCGCCGCTTCTTGCAGCTGGCAGGCGCCACGTATCCGGAGGTGCAGTGCGTCGGGACATCGTCGCCTCAGGGAGATCCCTGGTCTCCGCTCGCCATCACGCCCGTGCTCGCTGGCCCACTGGCTGAGGTGGCAGAGACGGAGCCTCAGGTATGCACCACACTGTTCGTCGACGACAGGACGTGGACAGGGCCACTCGGGCCGCTCGTCAGGGCGGGCAGCATCTGGGATGAGTGGTCTGCAGCGCTGGGCATGGAGGAGAACATGCGCAAGCAGGTCTGGGCGCACTTCACCCCGGCAGGCCGGCGCGCATTCGCCAGATATGGCATCCCGGCGGAGCGGGTGCAGGACAAGCTGGAGATCCTCGGCATGAAGCTGCCTGGGGGCCGCCACAGAAAGCAGTGCAAGAGAGAGGTGGCTCGGATCACCGGGGCCGAGCAGCAGCTGGCGCGCGTCGCGCTGCTGCCGCCAGAAAAGCCGAAACGCAGGCGCGCCGCGGAGGCGGGGCCGCTGGCCAAGGCACAGTATGGCTGGCTCGTCAGCCTCCCCCGCAAGAAGGACATGGAGAGGCTGCAGCACACGCTCCACCGCTCCATCGGGGTGCCGGTCCAGGCTGCCACTCACCCGAAGGTGCCGCTGGGAGGGCACCGGAGCGACGTCCGCTTCCGAGCGCAGCAGGAGGCCGGCAAGGCCGCGGTGCGCGCGCTGGAGAAGCGGATCGCCGACGTCGATTTCACGGAACAGCTGCCGTGGCCCTCGAAGAGCGGCTGGGGTGGCGTCTTGAGCCAGCATCCAGCTTGGACTGGTTGGACGGTGCAGTGCCCCTGGACTTGGGCGGGCACCAGGGCGACCCGCACCCTGCGACAGACGCCTCTGGCCTGGAAGCCGCCGGAGCATGTGGCTCACCTCCTCCGGGAAGGCTGGCGCCAGCGTCTCTAATTACGCTGCCTGGCTTCGCGGCAGCCGCCGCGACGCAGCGGAGTGCGCTGGCATCCCGTCCGACCCCATCAGGCATAAGAAGGTCTTGGATTTGGATACGACCAACGTCGTCCCCGGCTTCTTCCGCGTGGCTACGGGCGCGACGTACTCGCCCACGGCCCTACACCAAGGGGACGCCGATGCGGGCTTGTGCCCGTGGTGCAGGTGATCACCTTGAACGTTGTATCACGTTTGCTGGCAGTGCTGCAGCCCCCGGTGGGCGGCCCGGCCGCGCGCGGCGCCTTTCGACGCCCTACAGATCAGGCTGGGATGGCCGACCACGGTCAAGGCGCGCAAGGAGACGGACCTTCAGATCGCCCGCTGGATGGTGGAGGTCGGCAAAGCCATCCGTGAGGACTGGCACGGTACACCAGAGTTTCCTCATCGTTAACCCTGGAGGTTGAGGGAGGCGGCGGAGGAGGAGGCTGCTGAGGAGGAGGAGGAGGAGGAGGAGGTGGCTGCCCGGCGCTCGGCGCTAGGTGCCCTGCCTGCTGCTCAGCCATCCCTGAGCGGGCACCAGGAGGGAGGAGGGTCCCGGCCATCCTCACGCAGGCGCTGGGTCAACACGACGGCCCACGCATCTTTACCAACCTGTTCACCCATGTCGACTTCAAGCCTGGCCTTTTTCTTCCCGAGTTCGGCCTCTCGGGCCCGCTGTCGAGGCTCGAGGCCGCCAGAATGCGAAACCGAGGCCGCCGGGAAGGAAGCAGACGCGCCGTGGTGCGGAGGGGGCGACGCTGGTGAGGCAAATTGGAGTCCTGCTACCGCATCTGCTGCTTCCTCCTCCTCCTCCTCCTCCTCCTCCTCCTGCTCCTCCTCCTGCTCCTCCTCCTGCTCCTCCTCCTCCTCCTTCTCCTCCTCCTCCTCCTCCTCCTCTCCTCCTCCTCCTCTCATCTCATCTCATCATCATCATCATCATCATCATCATCATCATCATCATCATCATCATCATCATCATCATCATCATCATCATCATCATCATCATCATCATCATCATCATCATCAGCAGCAGCATCATCATCATCATCATCATCATCATCATCATCATCATAATCATCATCAGCATCATCAGCATCATCAGCATCATCATCATCATCAGCAGCAGCATCAGCAGCAGCATCAGCATCATCAGCATCATCATAACCAGCATCGCCATCATCATCATCATCATCATCATCATCATCAGAATCAGAATCAGCATCATCAGCATCATCCTCATCAGTATCATCAGCATAACCATCATCATCAGCACCAAAATCAGCAGCAGCAGCAGCAGCTTCGTCATCATCATCGTCATCATCAGCATCATCATAATCATCATCGTCATCATCATCAGCATCACCAGCAGCATCATCATCAGCGTCAGCATCAACATAATGATCAGTAGCATCATCCTCATCATCAGCACAATCAACAGCAACAACAACATCACTAGCAACAAAAACAAGACCATCGCCATCACAAATCATCGTCATCATCATTAACATCATCATCAACATCATCATATGCATTATCATCAGCAGCATCATCAGCACGTTCATCATCATCGGCATCATCATGATCCGCATCCTCATTATCATCCTCATCCACATCCTCATCCGCATCCTCATCAGCAGCAGCAGATCATCATCAAGATCGTCATCATCGTCATCAGTATCAACATCATCATCAGCATCATCATTATCAGAATCATCCTCATCGTCAGACTCATAATCCTCAGCAGCAGCGCATCACCATAATGATCATCATCAGCAGCATCAGCATCAGCAGCATGAATATCATCCTCTTCTGCCCGAGGCCGCATCCCGCGTCCGTCTGTTCGAACCCTCACGCTCTGGACAGTAGTGGGCGTCGGTGCCACCGTTCTCGAGGCTCCGCGTGGGCCGCTCGCGTCCGAGGGCGGAGACGGCCCCGATTGCTTCGAAGTCGTGGTTTCTCGATCCAGCGGCGCGCCAAAGGGGGGGAGATCATCGGGGGCAGACCCTCTCGGAAGGGCTTCTCGGAAGCCTTCGCTTCTTCTGGGGAGCCACCTCTGAGGAGGAGGAGGAGGAGGAGGAGGAGGAGGAGGAGGAGGAGGGAGGTAGGAGGAGGTCTTCCGAGAAGGCTCAGAAAGCTTCCCGGAAGGCCAAAAGCCTTCGGACCATTCTCTGAGAAGGCCCGAGACCCGTGCCTTCCCGCCGGGGCACGTCGCCAACCGGCGGCTCCCTCTTCGAGCACTGCCCGGAGGAGTGAAGAGAAACATCGCTGGGGGGGGGGTCCCCCTCCTCCCCTTGTGTTAGGTCGGGCCTGCCCCCCTACAGAGGAGGATTTTGGACGAAAAAGTAACAGATAGTCTCAAGATACTTAAAAATATTCAAGAATCATCCAAAAAACGTCCCCTGACTACTTTTTAACTATTTTTGAATATTCCTCCAGCAGAGGGACAGGCCCGACTTAAAGCTTCCCATAAGGCCAAAGGCCTTCGGACCCTTCCGAGAAGGCCCGACCCCCCCTGTGCCTTCCCGCCGGGGCACGCCGCCAACTGACGGCTGCCTTCGAGCACTTCCCGGAGGAGTGAAGCAAAAACATCGCTGGGAGGGGGCATCAGCACCTGGGTCGGTGCTGTGCCAGCGATGTTTGGAGATGTGCCGTCGCTCGAGTCAGAAGGTCAGCGTCCGACCAGAGCAACCCCTGCCCGACGCATTCACAAACAGCGCAGTGCAGACTGGCAACGGGCCAAGATTAACAATGAAACTGAAGTACCTCGGAAATGTCATAAGTATCATTCGTACCGGCCTGTGTCCTCCAAAGGGGCTTCGCAGGAGGCCTTTGGGGAATGGATAATGCCCGAGTCACATTAAAATTCACCCTTGCTTTGAACCCCCAAGATTTATGGACAGCTGGGGTTATGAAATCAGAGGGTTGAACTAATTTGCTTGGACTTCGTTCCAGGACTCAAACTCCTACTCCATGCTTCTCCTCCTTCTCCTCCCTATCATTCTGCATTCCCTTCTCCTCCCCATCCCCATCCTAACCCTTCCCATCCCTCCATCCCGCCACCGCCCAATCCATCCAACCTCCCTCCCTCCCTCCCTCATTCCTGCTTCCCCGTCTCTTCTCTCCACCTCCCTCCAAACACCTACCGACCCACACCCAGTCTGAAGAGAGCATCCCCTGTTTCCTCGGTCACTACGAGAGCGTCAAATCACTGAAGGGCAACCAACTAACGTTAAAAGCTAAACGCGTTTCTTTCGCCACTGCTCATCCACGATGAACTGCTTGAAGCTTGGCCGCTGCTGCACTGCTGCGGGAAGCATGTGTCTCAATCCTCGACCGTGCCTTTACACAGTGGGGCGTGTGAGAACGCGCATGGACTGTTTGATAAGACTTCTGAGTCCAAGCAGCTTGTTTAGCGGACAAGCTGTTGCAAAACAAGCCGTTAATCCCCTTCGATCCCCCTAAACTTACGTCGGGCCTGTCCCCCTATAGGGGGATGCTGGACGAAAAATAAAAAAGTCGGAAGATACACAAAAATAATCAAACAATGCTCAAAAATCGTCCCCATACCATGTTTGACTATTTCTGAATATTCCCCCTGTAGAGGGACAGGCCCGACGTAACCCTAAACCCCCTCCCCAGGAGCCTTAAGCGGGGGAGTGCGCGGGTGGTTAGAGTGTCTGTGCTGGCCCTATGTAGCTCCAAGAGGGCCCCAGGTAGACCAAAGTGAGATCAAAGATGGCGCAAGATGGCCTACGTTGGTTCAACAGAATCTCCAGCATGGCTCCAGTGGCTCCAAGACGGCCCCAAGATGGCTCGATGTAGCCAGGGAGCCCCTCCCAAATATGACAGTTGCGAGGCAAAACTATTGACAAAACACTGGATCTATCAATGGAGTTCGCGTTCTCACCTGTTTCCGACGAGCAAGGAGGCCTCAGAATGGCCCCAAGCTTTCTTACCCAGCGTTCATTTTAAAAAGAAGGACACTAAGCGGGTCCCAAGCTCAAGATGGCCCAGAATTCCATTGTTCTCTTTTCTTCACAGCGTTCAAGATGGCCCAATGGTGGACGAGGAAGGACCCACAAGGGTAGTTGGAGCGCCCTTAAAAGTCCTCGAGAACACCCGAAGAAAGAAATTAGATTTCTGGCTGCAAAGGACGGCGCCGATAGGTAACCCCCTTTGGGGTCGATGACCTGCAGCATGGCCCAAGAGGATCCCAAGGCGCCCCAAAGGGTCTCCACAGAGCCCCACAGGGGGCCCACTAATTTCCAAAGGGGGTTCGAGTAAGCCCCAGGAGGATTACGAAAGGCTGGTGCCTCCAAGAGGCGCCCGGAAGGCCCAAATTGGTGACGGTTGAGAGCTGCTTGGGCTCACCTCTCTCTGGCTTGAACTGTGCCCCTCCTCGCGTCGTTTCGCCGCCGCTCCCCCGCGCCCCTTTTCACGGCAGCTCGCCCGGGAGTCGCTTCTGGATGGCCTGGCGGTGGAAGGATGCGGGAGGCCGAAACGCTTCACCCGCCCAGGGGCGGAGGAGGAGGAGGAGGAGGAGGAGGAGGCGGAGGCGGAGGCGGAGGAGGAGGAGGGGGAGGGGGAGGAGGGGAGGTAGGAGGAGAGGAGGAGGAGGAGGGAGGAGGAGGAGAGGAGGGAGGAGGAGGAGGAGGAGGAGGCGGCGGGGGGGCGTCGCAGTCCCGCGTCGAAAACTCGCCCCCCTCGCCCCCGTGCTGGAGCGAGCGCCGCACCCGACAGGCGCCAGGCGCGAGCGAGCCTCGCCCGGAGCGCTCTCCGCGGAGCGCCGCGCCAGCGAGACGGGCGAGCGAAGCCGAGCCATCTGAGGCTCGCCCGCCTCCGATGGGACGCAGGGGAGGCGGGCTGCGCCTCCTTCCCGGACGCCTGGCCGCTCCAATCTTTGGGACGCGTGGGCCGCGGAAGTCCTGAACCGCCGACTTTTTCGGTGGCGTGAGGCCTATACGGGTCAGTTGGGCCTTCTGGTCCGGGCCGTCCTTGCAACCGGTTAACCCCACAGGGTCTTTTGAACCCCCCCCCCAATAGTGCGCAAATATATGGTTGTCCCGCGAGCTTATTGACGGACTGGGACCCCAGCAATAATGGAAAATATTATTTTCCGTGTGGAACTCGGGCCCCACGGGGAGGGAGGGAACCCACGAGGACCGTGAGAAACTTCATCCTCGATT